TGACAAATCTGAAAATCTCAATAATGAAAGTTTGTCAATAATTATATTTGCAATCACATACTTCACCTAATCTTTAAAAGTAGTATATCAACACAGAGTTTTGAGGTTTTAAAATTTGTTTGTTCAAAAAAACCTGGAAACGTGTATGCCAATGTGAAAGGCTCAAAAAAATGTACCGAGCAGAGGAAGTTAAAAACAATGTTTGTGAACTCCAAATTCATCTTGTTTGCTATGTTTTAGGACACCAGATTCTCAAGCTTTTTGAGAAATGCTCAGAGATGATTGGAAAGTGTTTTGAAATCAGAAATGAATGTGTCAGTGTCTATCTGCCATAGCAGGGAGACTTCTCTTTGTGTAAAGGGCAGCCAAGCATTGTCTTTGGCTCTTCATGCATGCATCCCAATGACATAAATGGGAGGGGCAGGTTGAAATCTTTCCAGACTTGGATACATCATGTGTTGAATTCTTTAGATCTAGATATTGTGATAATTTCCAGGCTTAGAATCAGAAGTAATGAGAAGTAAATGTCCTCATAAGTTACTTTTCTAAAAGTTTCAAACATAATTTAATTGAGCCAACTCTTGATGTAATAAACAAGGCAAGTTTCCCACATCTCTATGGAGAAGTCTACTGCATCAACATGATTAATATTTCCATGTTCCAGAAATTCTTTCATTTTGGCTTATGGCGACCTTAGATTCCCTAATTGTCACTTGTTTACATATTTTTTCTATTTTAAATTATTTTATTTTGTGGGTACATAGTAGGTGTATATATTTACAGAATAAACAGGTGTTTTGATACAGGCATGCAATGTGCAACAAAAACATCATGAAGAATGAAGAAAGGCTAAATACTTGACATGCCCTCAACTATTTACCCTTTGTCTTATATTAAGTGAAATAATCCAGGCCTAACAGTTATTTGTTTTAGACATCCTCCAAAAGTAGATTCTAAGACAAAATTCTCCCTCTGTTGAGGGGATTTATTTATGAAGCAATCTTGGAAAGCAAGAAGAAGATTGAATAGGAAAGAGGAAAAGCAAATGCAATCGTGCATTATTGAGTTCATCACACCAGCAGTGGCCAGTTTTATGGTTCACTGTGAAGAGCTTTATGGTATGCATTTCAGAATTGATCCAAAAGGAGTAGAGAAGATATCCGTCCTTTAGCTTCTGTGTCCTTTGGTCAAGGAACACCTCCCTAATATTTACTTCCTTGGACTTCACCTCTCACTTATTCTTATTCCCTCCAATCCATCACAGAATCGTTTTCAAGATAGTGGCCAAACTTGCAAAGATTTAATAACCGAGGTTAGTTGAATGAAGTATAGTTCTCACTGCTATAGTTAGTCCTAAAGCCATGTTCAATATTTTCTGTCTTCTATTATCCATTTTGAATTTTCCTTATATTTCTCCAGTAGCTGATCTAGTTTTATGCCTTGTGGAGAGATCCCAGAACTAAGGGTTTGAAACCCTAGTTTCCTTGCCCTTGTTGGACTGTGGTTGCTGAAGTTGCTGATTCTGTTATCACTGAGTGTAGAAGCTCCAAAAGCCATCCCAGTGAGTCTCCTCCTTTCCAGATACATTCTTGCATGATCTCAATGTATAACAGCAATTCCAATTCCTCACGGAAATCAAGGTTATTAACCCCAGTATAGTTAACTCTTTGTCTACTGATCCTCCAGCATCATGAGCTCAACATGACCAGTGATAGTAATAGTTTCAAGCATAGTAGAACGCTTAAAGTGGTACACTGATGGAAACATTCCATCCTAGGAAATAGGACTTTGAATACAACCTAGTATGGCAGTGACAGGAAGCATATATTCTGAAAGTGAGTCTCTGAGAGTAATGATGGAAATCACTGATCCTACCTCTACCTTTTGTTTCCAAACCTGTATACTTTTTCAACTTGGGATACAGGACTGGGAGTGGGCTATTGGTTCAGAGTACAAACTACATGCTAGGGGGCTGTATCCCAACCTCACAAGATGCTATCCCTGAGCTGGTGCCTTTGCAAAGCCTCTTAATGGGCTATTCTATTGTTTCATCAGATTAACTGCTTTTGGGTGATGACGTGTCTAATAGGTCTGATGGATTCTGTGAATATGTACACATTCTTACATCTATTTTGCTGTTAGTGTCTATTAGTGTAAGGCAATGCTATATGTGATACTATTATTAATGATTCAGGTAAATAATAGTACTGTTGGAAAAATGTTCTGTAGGTATGAAATGAAAACCCAGATTTCAACTGAAATTAGACAGTTGATAGTCTCCTCAGGGATGCTGTCACATTGCTGCTAGTGTCAAGGCATTCTGCAATAGCAGATCATTTTTGGTAAGCAAAAGCCCATGCTACTCGGTCTTCTATCCTCATTTAGTCCTCTATCTCATTGTCAGGGTAATCCTCTATCCTTGAGTCAATAGCTGTTTCATTCATCACTCATTGTGTCAGCACCACTGTGGATGAGTAAATAAGACAGTCATCTTGTCCAGTTGGTGATTGGTGCCTGTTCTATGGTGGATGCTCTTCAGTGGCCATTAATGTGAGATGTGGTATTTGCGTATTTGCAAACTCTGTGCCCACTTCCATTATTTTGTCGATTTCCTTCTTTTTCACACTTCTAAGTCTCTGATCTTTGATAATTATTTCTTCAGGCGCAGGAGTCAATGCCTGAATTGGGACAAGAGGCCCAGACTTTTCTACCCCTTCAAGTGCTAGCTTTTGAGTGAGCCATCTTTGACACCAGTCCATTTGGGCTTTCAGTTGCCTGCAGTCCCAGTCGACATCTGAATACAACCATATCACAGCCGCATACAGCAAATGGCCTAGCCAAGCCCTAGCCTAACAAACGAGGAACAATGTAAAGTGTTTGCTTCCACAGGTTGGGGGTAATTTGTTGGGCACCAATAAAAACTAGAATCAGTTACTATGTGCCAAGTACTCTGTTCCATCTCCATGCATCATCTCATCTCAGTCAACATTTTTACTCCTGACAACACTGTAAAGCGTTATTTTCATCTTAGAGATGAGGAAAGTGAGCTTCAAAGAGGTTAACATTCTTCCAATGCCATGTAGCTAAGAAAAGAAAGAGCTGAAATTCAAACCCAGTATAACTGTAACCTGTGAAATAAGATTAGGAGAAACAAATTTTCAGAGTAATGCTCACTGTTTAAGTAGGAAAAATAATTGGCAACATATATGATATTAATTGATTTAGAAATACCCATATTCAATAAGATAATTACAATATTTTCTAGAGTTCAGCATGTGCAGGCTGGAAATGAAAAATTTGGCTGAGAGGGCCCTAGTGAAAAACAAATTTAACTATTACCATATGAATGTTGTTGCCTGAATAGTGCTGATGCCAAATTGCTGAGCAAAAGGTATTGGAAATAATCTGTAACAATTTTTGTAAAGATGTTTTGGCATGAAAATGAGGAGCAATTTTATTTTGAAATACTGAAAAGCATGAGTGAAAACATAATTAGTATCTATAAAAGTGGATAAGTATAGTGCTTTGCTTTAAGTGACCTTTGATGAATTCTAGTTCTTTATTTGTTTATTTTTTCTTTTTGAGACAGAGTTTCACTCTGTTGCCCAGGCTGGAGTTCAGTGGTTCACAATCTCAGCTCATTTCAACCTCTGCCTCCTGGGTTCAAGTGATTCTTCTGCCTCAGCCTTCTGAGAAGCTACAGGAACATGCCACCATGCCTGGATAAGTTTTATATTTTTGGTAGAGATGGAGTTTCACCATATTGGCCAAGCAGGTCTTAAATTTCTGACCTCAAGTGATCCACCTGCCTCAGCCTCCCAAAGTGCCACGATTATGGGCACAAGCCATTTGGCCCAGCCAAATTCTGGTTTTTTAATATGCCACAACCTAACTCTCAAAAGGAGAAATCAGTTTCTTTGCTTATCATAGTTTATAGGTCTACTTTACCATGCTTTATAGGTCTATTGTCAAAACAAATATCAAATTACTTCAGAAGTTCTTTCCTACATCCTTCTATAATATCTGGTATTTAGGGAATAGGTTGGCTATTTAGAGTAAATTTATTAGGATTTGTTTTGTTTGATCCATGGTTGTCAAATATGAGAGTGCATAGAGTCATCTAGAAATTCATAATAAAAACTGTAAATTCCTGAGCCACATTGCCAGAGATTCTGATGGAAAGGCTATAGGTTGAGGCCTAGAGATCTACTTGCAAGGGAAACTCTTAGAAATTTCTTTTGTATATGACCTGAGTATCACATTTGGACAAATATTGCCCTAGGTATTATGCCAGTAATTTCATTAACTGACATCAGATTATAGAGTGCCATTCATCATAAACTGCCAAATGTTTACATGTCAGATATTTAAGGGTATATGCTTTCTCAGAAAAAAAAATGACTTTACTTTAAAAAATATTCAAGATAAATTATACCCCTGAAGTATATATAAAATGATTAGTATAATATTTGGAATATTGCTTAAAATACAGTTATATCAAGATTTAAAGGTGTACAACAACCTTAGCACAAAATGTTTTCTTTATAATATGGATTATATTTAAATACAATTACATATAAATATTTTGAATTTTTTATAAAAATTATGTTGTATATTACATGTCATAATTATACATTGTATATCATGCATATCACATACATTATACATACATATTATGTATATATTGTATATTACATATATTGCATATTTCATATATATCATAATTACATAGAAAACATAGCAGCTACATTACTAAACATTAAGTAAAATATTTAGTTTAACTTAGCTATTAACTTAATTAAAATTGTGTGAAAACTTGCAAATACAGGTAATGAGAAATAGAGTTTAAGCAGTTACATAGTAGTTACAAGCTGGCTACTTGTTTGTGTGTTCACAATTGCCTTGAAGTATCAAAGTCAATATAATATCTATAAATGCTTTTATTGCCTTACTTGCTCTTGGACTTGATTTATCTTTACCTATGTATTTTTGTCTTTCAGAATTACCCCCAGTAATTCTACGTAGAATTTCCCCTCATCAGCTATGAAATAGTCATATCTTATCACAAAATGATCACCATCTAAAATGAAAAGAAGAAAAGAGAGTCATTTAAATTTTTCCTTCAAAAATTCAATTTTGTATCAATTCAATGACTAATCTATTAAGTAATCTTTATTACTAGACATTCCCTCAATACTAAGAATATAAAACAAAACAGAATATCTGCTCTCTAGGATACCTGTTATAATAGTCCTCTGCACCTCAAAATCTTGAATAAATTATCTCAATGTTTTTCTGAAGTAATCAGTTTCCTCCTGTATCTTTTTTTGCTATTAAATGAATTAGTAGAATACATTAAGAGAATGGGCTTTGAAGCCTGCATTTTTAAGAATGCTACTCAAATCATCTCCCAGCAATGACTTGTACTGTAGAATAATAACAACTTTCTCATCTATAAAATAAACAACTCTCTCATCTATAAAATAAATGATGTTTAATTCACAAAGATGTTTTTGTCAAAGTAATTCAAACAGATTGTGTGTGTGTGTGTGTGTGTGTGTGTGTATACATACATATATATTTGTTGTTGTTGTTTTGTTTTTTCTAAGAGTCCTACTTTTTCACCCAGGCTGGAGTGTAGTGGTGCTACCTCAGCTCACTGCAACCTCCATCTTCTCTTGAGCTCAATGAAAAATATACAGAAAGTAAAGAAATATTAATTTTAAAAATCTACTAAATCTTGGCAAAAGCAGTAAGAGCTTGTGGTATTTAAACTAAGACCCACACCCTGCTTTGCCCTTCCATATCAGCAAGATGCTAAATCCACTCCAGTTTTGTACAGCTAAGAACATAGTTCCAAGTCTGAGTGCTGTTCTCCTAGGAAGGGCAGGATATTAGCATTTTTCATTCTGCTTTCAGCTACTTGTTCTGAAGTTAAATTCTGTGTAAGTATAATTGAGACATGAGAGCTTCTTCCTTTCCACCCCCACAATCTCAAGCCCCTGATATATAGGACAGAGACTCACTCCTTGGGCATAACTCAACTAGAATATTGGGGCCTGTCTTTACCTTGGCTTGTAAGGTAGAGATTCCAGGCTGAGAGAGACAAACTGAGAAGGGCCCAAAGCTACTACCTGGGCCCTTCTATTCACTATTCAACTTCTAAAGCAGAGGAACTGCTACTCAGGGAGAGAAATGAACATTATCCTTATGCCCAGGTCCAGAACCATGGCTCATAGATTTTTGCCCAGGGTGGGAGAATCAGGCTATAAAATCAATTTGAATCTCTTCCCAAGGGGACTGACTTCAACTTACAACACAGTTTGAAAAATTTTAAGCCTAAGCATGCTCAAGAAAGTGGGGATTGTAGTGACAGGTAATTGGGAGGAAACTGGTAGATTGTTTGGGGACAAAAGCTAAAATGTTGACTGGCTAGTTTGTCAGACAGTGCCACAGAAGAAACAGCATGGAGGAGCCCTTCTTAGGCCTGACCAAAGTTCAAACACTACCTCTGAAACTATTCCTTCAAAGAAGTCCATATTTGATTGGACCAGTCTGCTGAGAAATTCATACTTCAGGACATTGCTGAAAACAATAGAACAATAATCTAGCAATTATTGGAGTTTAACGGCTGGGTGTGGTCAGGGAAAGAGTCAAGGAGATATCTGCCAAAACTACTGTTATTCCAGTGTAATCATAGACTCCCCAAGGCCAAAAAACAGCATTAGAATCTTCCTGAAGCAGGAAGGGTGTGGTAGGTGATATACTTGATTAAAATAATTTACTAAGTCACTAAACAAATAAAAATCAGTAACAACTACAAGCCCTGGAAGGGAGGAATAAGTACCTAGAATTTCTATACTATCTATAATGTGATTTGCAACAAAAGTTATGAGACATATAAGAAACAAAAACATATGATATATATGCTGGAAGAATACCTCACATATTCTATACTACATGTGTAAATGATCAGATATCAAGTTTGACAAAGATTTCTAAATAGCCACTATAAATATCTTCAAAGAAAACTATGATAAAATAAGTAAAGGTGTGATGATAATGTTCCAAGAAATAGAGAACATAGAGATAGAAATTATTTTTTTAAAGAAACAAATGGAAATTCTGGATTTGAAAACTTAATAACTAAAATAAAAAATTCACTAGAGCAGCTCAACAGTATATTTGAACAAGCAGAAGAAAGAATTAGCAATATCAAGAACAGATTGATAAAATTTATGCAATCTGAAAAACAGAAAGCAAAGAACAAAAAGAGTATTTGAATAGCTAAAATATTGCCAAATTTATTGGAAACGTTAATTTATGCACCTAGAAAGCTCAGCAAATTTCAAGTAGGATAAAGGCAAAGAGATTTACAGACAAGTCATAGTAAAAATACTGAAAGCCAAAGGCAAGGACAAAAATCTTGAAAGCACCAAGAGCAAAATGACTCATTATTTACAAGGGAACTTCAAGAAGCTTAAAGGTAAATGTTTATCAGACACAATGGAGGCCATAGGGTGGGAAGGGATTTAAAAAGGGATGGACAACATAATCAAAGTTCTCAAAGGGAAAAAACACCTTTCAACCAAGAATCCTATGTATAGCAAAGCTATTATTTCCAAATTGAAAGTAGAAAAATGACATTAAAAGATAAACAAAAAGTGAGCTAATTTGTTGTTAGTAGGCCTACCTTACAAGAAATACCTAGGAAAGGTTTTTAGACTAAAAGCAAGTGACCTCATTTTTTTTCTTTGATTTTTAAATTTTTTTTTACCAGAATATCTCACAAAACAGCCAAATATACCACTGTAAAGACAGAAGGCAAAAGTAATGCTAGCTCTGTGAATTCTCTCTTCTCATATGAATTCATAAGCTGCCACCAATAGAGAGAAAGAAGCTCAATGAGAAGTCTGACCTTATTTTTTGAATCCACATAGATAAAGAGTATCTGTAAAGGTAATTATGTGATCACTAAAGTGTAAACACATATTTCTTCTCCTAACTAATTTAAAAGGCAACTGGATGAAACAAAATAAAATGTATACAATAAATATAGAAATGTAATATATTTTCCAATATCAGCACAAAAGAAGTGGGTGGAAACACAGCTCAGTTAGGCTAAGAAAGTGACTCCATATGGTAACTCAAATTTGCAGAAACGAGTAGTTCCACAAATGATAAATAAAAAGGCGAGTATAACAAAAGTTATAAATATATACTTGCTCTCCTCTTCTTTAATGTCTTCTTAAAAATGCTTAAATTATATTAAGTAATAATTATAATCATGAAATGTTGAGCTACAGGCATTTATAGAATGAAATATGTATAATAATAGTACTACAAAAGAGGAAAGAGAATGGTGCTACAAGAATAACATTTCTTTATCATATTGAAATTAAGTTAGTGTAAATCTAAAGCTAATTCAAGTAAGATATTTGAAAATGTTGGAGGTGAAAATATTCTAAAATTCACTGTGGTGATGGTTGCACATATCTTTAAATATACTAGAAATTATTGCACTGTTCACTTTAAATGGATGTATTGTGTAGCATATGAAATATATCTCAATAAAGCTGTTTTAAAACAAAGAAAAAAGATAATGTAGGTAAATTTGGTGATTCACTCAGGATGGTGGCAAAAATATTAAAGAAAAAATATTAGAGATAGCTTTAAGGAATAATCACAAACCTTCTTGGGGGGCCAAGAGGTTTTTGCATAGTTTCAGTAGAAGTTTCAGCTGGAGGTAGCCTAAATCCCCTTCACCTCTAGTTGATAAGAAAAGCAAATAGCTAGGAAATGTGGGGGAGTTTATCTGAATAACTTGTTTACTCATATGGTCCTAAAAAACTAACCTTTGATCATTCCAGATGGCTCTCTCAGGGGAAGGTCAACAGGGATATTACCCACTAATGGTGTTAATATGCTGTCCAAAGACCTTTGTCCTTTGACATACTGAATAAAAGCCTAGAGTAGGGGCTGCTTGAGGCTGGCAGCTGCTATCTCTTTACAGCACTCTACTTGAGTGTCTGTAAGTGGCCATGGATAACCCAGCCTGCTCATAACACTGAATACTGTGTGTGAGTGAATTTGTTCATCTGTCATTGAGTTAGTGTCTACAGGACAGACCCCCACAAGTGGTGACTGGACAGGTAAATTTCTTTAAAAAATAAGTTTGTTGTGTATTTTAGTAATATTTCCTAGCAGCTTTTGGAAGAGGCTCCTGATACAGGTGGTTTATTTGCTGTCATAGAGATATTATATATGAACAATACTAGATAGACAAAGTAAAGTTTTCTTCAATTCCTCTCTTTGAGCTTATTTATCTTTCCTATTTTTCTTTTTTCCTATTCTGAAAAGAATACTTGTTTCTTCCTTTCATTTACAGATTAGAAAAATTTGTCAGTGGATGAAATCTCTTGGTGATTTCTATAATCCATCCTTGCCAAAGGCAGTATTGATTTTACATGCTCTGTTTTTCATTTTTTCCTGGCTTACAAACTATTTCCTGCTTCAGTATGCTTTTGTGATTTAGAATTAGGAGGAAAATAACAGGAAAAGGACAAGAGGCATGAGTCTGCAATCAACAAGGGGCCCATTCACCTAGTTTCCCAGAGACATTGAAGCCAGGGAGAGGTAGCAGCTGTAGTATGTAAGAAAAGAGGAATTTGAAAAGTATGGTGGTAGAATTCCATCATGAAATTCACTCAATTTAAGTAAAAAACGTGAGCACTTATCTTGGAGTTAACTTTTATTTACTGATTGGATCTTTCAATTGATACCTTTCTGAGTCATTCTTTTCAAAGAAAAATGTGTGTCCAATAGACTCTCTACTACCAGTTTTCCATACACCTGCTTCAAGTCTTTTCAAATTGTTTTTTTCATACTACATTTTGGACATTTAACCACTTTGTTCAAGTAGTACTTTTCCTTTCTCTTCGGATGAATAATAACTTAATTCCTAGCCAAAAAAAAAAAGAATATACGGGGTGAAATAGAGTAATTGAGTGAGAAATCTGTGTTTTAACATAGTTTTTACATAAACATCCTGCGTATCTTTGGACTATCTGTTTAAATTCCTTATCAAGTTTCGTACCTATTATATGAGGACAATTTGGTCAGGGTTGCCTGAATAGACATCAGCAGGTATATGAGCAACCAGAAATTTCATGCACAATTGTCTGAGGATATACATTTATTTTTGTTAAATTAACTGATTTTTAAATTGATGGATAAAAAGTGTATATATTTGACAAGAACAACATGTTTTGAAATATGAATCCATTGTGAAATGGCTCAG